AATTAACAAACGGAGACGTAACAATACTTTATTACTCTACAAAAGGTCCTACATTTTTATGCTTTGGCTTCAGTGTAAATGAGACACTTAAATGTGAGGGACGTTTGTGTTATGTTGATGTTTTACATAAAACAAATTAGAACATATGTATAGCTTTAAAATAAAACCAAAGCCGAAATTGTCAGATACCAGCTTACATACAGTATAAGACCCTTAATTTAGTAACTTTGCAAGTTGTATCAACAAAAATCTAAATGCCAAGAAAACATGAACAATCACAGTATTTTCAATAGGAGCATGGTATACATGCACACTATGCTTCCGAACCACTTATTTCATATAAACATTTTCAAAATTTCAATACATGCTGTGCATGTAGTCTTAACACAAAGGGTATTGATTTTCATTTGTCTGCCACTATGACTTGAATTAATGCTTTGGTCTGGACTAAGGCCTGCCTAGTCTGAAAATATTCTTAATTGACAAAGTTCTTCCTCTGACAGAAAAGGTGGTATTGTTTGTTTACTTGAAGTTAAGCACAAAGCTACACAATGGGCTATCTGTGTTCTACCCACCATGGCAATCGAAACCCGGTTTTTAGCGCAGATATACCGCTGTGCTACTGTGGGGCAAAAAGGTGGTATTGAATGCGTGAGTACCATCACAACTGGTCTTCTTCCCACTGATATAAATCCATTTGATGGACATGTTTTATCACTGCCATTAGAAGCTGGATCAGAAGGATTATCAGTATTATAGGGGTGATAGTTGGTAGGAAGTGTTAAATATATTCTTCCCGAAATTGGATGAGGAATATAATTACAGCATTTCACATGTAAAAACCTGATATTGGACAAAATATGTAACTTGTGAATTCACCCTATCGCCACAGGTATTCTTTATTGCGCATGACGCAAGATTTTAGGGTTTGTTTTGAATTTCCCACAAAGCTACATGAGAGCTATCTGTGCTAGCCGTCCCTAATTTAGCAGTATAAAACTAGAGAAAAGGCAGCTAGTCATCACCACCCATGGCCAAATCTTGGGTTACTCTTTTACCAACGAATAGTGGGATTGACCATCACTTATAACACCCTTACGGCTGAAGAGGCGAGCATTTTTGGTGGGACGGAGATTCAAACCCGCGAACCGCAGATTGCGAATCGAGCTCCCTAACCACCTGGCCATGCCAGGCCCAAGAATTTAGAGTTTTACATTCAAAATTTTATTAAACTACTTTTGTTTATGTTATTCCAATTAGTATAGCATAAAATATTAGCTAATAATCCATATTTTAATTGTATATAAGTGTTACGTCTCCGTTTGTTAATTAACTTTCCGTAACTTCGTTCCGACGAAACTTTAGCGACAAAAGTCCTTTCTTAATAAAACTGGTTTATTCTTTCCGAATATAACTGTTGCGTCATCGAGATCATGTGATTCTTACGCTCTCTACTTTCTAGAATTATCCTGTACTTTGGCGAATGTTCTA